AGGGGAGTTGAGCATCAGTCTCACTTGGAGAGTACCTAAAGGTCAAAGTAGAGTTCTGGGCCAATATTTTCATAATATTGAATTTTTTAAATTTGGAAGGGAGGAAGAGAGAAGGAAAGGGATTTCTTCAACCTTTATCTTCTGGGAGTAAAAGTGTCTTGAGTTTTCTTTTTGTCTAGTTGCCAGTCACTAGCAGAGAGGAATGAACTCTCCAGACAGTCTCAGAGTAATCAGAGTTCACTCTATGGATCGGGAAGAGATTTCATTCTTTTAACATATGACTTTATTCCTAATTCCCATATAAAATTGAGTTCTCTTGGCCAAGAAGAAGAGGGTTTACTTGCCACAGTTATCAACCTCTAGCTAGTATTTTTGAACCATATGATATTGACAATAATAATAACAATATAGTATATTCTATTAGCATGGAATATGATATATAATACAAAATATATACATACAAAGATAACAGTATATAAATATATGTCTAAAATGCATAGTATAAAGTATAAAAACATGCATGATATAACACATGTAGCACATAATTGTTTCTCTGGTGGAAGAAAAGAGGCACTATGATTAAGATTTCAATTGTATTTATATATTTAATTTTCAAAAGTAATAAAATAAGTACAGTCATACAACACTCAATGAAGGGAACAGGTTCTGAAATATATGTTGTTATACAATTCTGTTGTGGAAAATAGAGTATGTTTATATAAACAAAGATGACTGCAACCTCACTAGGTGATATACATACTTTGTGGGACATAAATGGGGTTTGTTGTTAATTGAAAAATTATGCAATAGATTACTATATCTGAACCAAAATATTAAATTAAACTATAGTGCAGTTCTTTGCCTCTTTGTAAAACTTATTGTAAATAATAGTAATGTAATAGGATGGGGAAATACATGTTGTTAAGCATTTTGGTTTGAAATAAAAATTGATAGAATGAATTAGAGGACAGTTTGACAAATGCAGTTTTAAAGTTCATCCTTTGATGTAATACTTCTGCTTTAAGCGATTTATTTTACATGCATATTTGGAAACACAAAGATGTATGTATAAATAAATTTTTGATAATGGCGAAAGTCTTTTTATACTGGTAAAACTAGTCACCTAAATGGTATACACAGATGCTAGAATGCTCAGGAGCCATAAGAAATGATAAATTTAGAAATTTTACCTAAAAATTTGTAATATTTGAACGGTGAAAATGCGTAAAAAACAACATACAATACTTTGAAACACACATCTCTAAAGAAAGAAATGTGGAAGTTTAGTCATCAGAATATTCGAAGGGGCTGTGTATAGTGGGTGACATTACAGATGATTTTCTTCGTGAATAATTGGTGCTTTCTTGAAATACGTTTTTTTATATTTACATAGAAAAACCTATAATTTTCTTTTTATTAATTAAAATGCATATAAAATTAAAAGCTGCTCATTTATTATGTTGGTTTAATTACTGTGAAACAAGTAAATGTTATGTACAGATGTTATGTACAAATATTTTATGAAGCCCATACTGTGTAAGGTACTTTGTACATGATGAAGATACAGACAGCTGTTGGACAGTCAGGGTACCTTTTTTCATGAAACATCTTGAACGGAAAATGTACAATAGGTCAGTAAAATAAGTGGATAAGGCACTTCCATATAGTGATTGAGAGTGCAGAGGAAATTAAATTAGGATAATATAAAAATGGTGATGGGAGGGTGTGTGCGCATGCAAATGGCTCTAAATTGGTGATCAGTGAAAGTGTCCCTGAGATTCTTCTTGGGGTGAGAATTGCATGACAAAAGGAGGCGGACTTGCAAAGTTGTGGGGCTGAGGGCTTCAGACGGATGCATAGCAAATGCAAAATCCCTTGGGCTGGATCAAGTTTATCATATTCAAAGAACACATGGTTAAAGCCTAAAACTGAGTAAGATTAGAGAGGGAGCAGGCCTACTCACATAAAGTCTTTCCTTTCCCAGTCATAAAGATTTTAAATTGATATTTTATATGACAATTAAGATATGTGACAATTAAGATATGATAATGAATAAAACAGAAAACAGATAAAACAGAAAATTGCATAATCCCACTACTTCCCACTGTATTCATTTAATCTTAAATGTATATTTGGTCCTGTACTTTGTTTTATATGTTTTTAATCTCAAAGACTGCTTAATCTAAGCACTTTTCCATATTAAATTTTATATAACATCCTTTTTTGTTCATACATGGTTTATATTTGTGTTTTTTATTATGAAAGATACATCCAACAATTTATAATCTTTTTTTTTTTTTTTTTTTTTGGTACCAGGAATCGAACTCACAACCTTGCGCTTGCCAGGCAGGCACTGTGCCACTGAGCTAAATCCCCAGTCCCTATAATCTTGATAACTTGCAAGTGTATAATTCAGTAGTGTCAAGTACATTCACAATGTTCTACAACATCCCTTTAAATACAAAATGGTATTATATGAAAAACAGACATATTCTGAAAAAAAAAGTCTCAGTTGTTGACACTTAAATTGTCTCCATGGTATTCCATAAGTAATGCTATGATAATCTTATTGTGATATCTTTGATCATCTATGAAGAATTCTTTATGATAAATTTTGAAAAATGACATTGATAAGTTAGAGAGTGTGTTTGTTTAAGCTGATTCATGAGAACTGCTACTGCTATATTATTTTTTCCTAAGGTGATACCAGTTTACATTCATATTATCAGTGTTTAAGCGTACTTCTACTTCAACTACTGTTATGGTTTGTGTCTGGGTGTCCTCCTAAAACCTCAGTGCAGTCATAGGGTTTTTTCGGAGGTGGCTGAATCTAGAATGTATGATTGATTCATAGTGCAATACTGGGATTCAGGGTGCTGAAATTGCGAGTGGGTGATTGCTGGATGAGTCCATTGGTTGAACTGGCACCACCCTAATCTGGGTAGACTGGATACAATAAAAGTGACCAAGAGGCTTATCTCGCTCTCTCCCAAAAAAGTTGCTTTTGCTGTCTTCTGCTATGTGCCACCCTGCCCTAGAGCCAATCGATTATGGACTGCAATCTCTACAAACTGTGAGCTAAATAAACCTTTTCCCCTTTTGACTTAGAGTGTCGGATATTTTGTCTAAACGAGAGACAAAACACCTTCTCCCTAATACCAAGCACTAATATTTTTCCCTAATACTTAAGACAACTACCTTCTCCCTAATACTATGCATTTATATTTTCAATCTAAAAGTTTTAGTAAAAAGCAAACACAATTTTCCTAGTTTGATTCCTAACTATTATGAATATGTTAAAATTCTAATTGATGTTTAAAAGTATTTTACTTAAACTTTTATTATTAATGAAGAAAGGAAAGTAGTTCTGAAGCATTGTTAGTACACTAGTTAGGAAAAAATAAGTTTGTACTCAGGCTTTACTCAAATCCATATAGGTAAAGAGAATCACTTAGTTTTTCTGGGTAAAGACAGTGCCTGCAGCTCAGTGGAAGATTAGGTTTGAGGTCAAAGGAATAAAGATAACCAAAGAGAACCAAACAGAACCTAATATTTGTAAAGTTCTGTAGGTATTAAGAACAAATCAAACCCTGGCAGGGTTATGACAGTTACTTTAGCATGTACTTTGTGCATTTGTTCCACTGACTAATGCAAAATTGACTTTTGTTTTAACCTAAAGCATTCAGCTTAACTTGAAGGATTTTTTTTTTTTTTTGTAGAAGCCTAATTCTGGTTTTGTGATACATGTATGTGGAAATGTATCTTTTATGTTGGAGACTTTCTTAGTGCTTACTTTCCTATTTCTCTGGGTAGCATGGAGAACATATCATGAAATAAGTTTCTATCTTCCTTGGTATTTTCCAAATTGTTCTCATTTATTTAATATATGCATAAAATTGAGAAAGATACAACTTTCTCACTACCTTTTATTTTTATTTAAGATGCCATTTCTAACAGTCTTACTCAGTAAGTAATAATATGGAGGTGGTGATACTTAGCTAATAAGATGTATGAAACATAAAGTGGGGAAAATCATTAATAAAGGTACTAAAAATAAAATGCTAATACATACAGTTTCTGTACATATTAGCAATATAGCTCATAATTTTATTGTTTTGGTAAATTTACTTTAAAATTACCAATGGCCATATTTTTCTCTGTTGATCTTACTAAATCTTCATCATGCTGGACTTTGCATAATGTTGTTGCTTCTTGACTTCCTTGATATCCTTCTTGATATTTCTTACGTAAGTGTTTACCTATACTTTACACTGCTTCAGATTCTACCTGACTCTTACCCTTGCCTCCTTTTTTCTATATAAAAACTGTGATACTTCCCGTGTTCTGATTGAGTATTCTCAAATGCCTATTTTGCACTTGTCTGCCCTATGGTTTTCTCAGCCTTAATAAATCTGATCTTGAAGTTTCACTTAACAACCCATTTCACATAATTTGACCACTAGCCCCAGTAATAGAAATCCTTGTATCTTCTTTAGTTCTCCCTTTACAGAATCCCCTGTAACTAAACTGTTACCACTTATTTCTGTTAACTTGGCGTCTCTCTCTCTAGCCTTTCTGGTGTAATGTTGAATATTGTAATTTGTCTTAGCTTCAATTGTCAGCAGTATTTAAATGACCTTTATTCTTAAAATATAAAGATGAAGTTTGTGCATATAATTTTGTCTTGTGAAGCTTGCGGGGAAAGTGAGCACCTTGCACAAGAGTATTGCTTTTTCCATTGTGTATTTCTAGCACAGTTGCCCAACCATATAACAGATAATTGAGAAATGTTTTTTGAATCACCTGCCCAGTGACTAAGGGAAGAGCTTTTTTTTAATTCTATGTAGTTTTGTGAAATGAAGGATCAGTTTGGACACAACTAACTTTTTTTAATCCTTTTTATTGTAGAGTGCAGCGTGTTTTTGTTATTTAAAGTTATCCTGTAGGTCCTTCTTACAAAATTGATTTAATGTATAAAATATCTTTTCCAATTCTTTTAGGCTTTGGAAGGAAGGATGTGGTAGAGCATTTACTGCAGATGGGTGCTAATGTGCATGCTCGTGACGACGGAGGCCTCATTCCGCTCCATAACGCCTGCTCTTTTGGCCATGCTGAGGTTGTGAGTTTGTTACTGTGCCAAGGAGCTGATCCGAATGCTAGGGATAACTGGAACTATACACCACTGCATGAAGCTGCGATTAAAGGGAAAATTGACGTCTGTATTGGTAAGTAGTATTTGATGATATCTAAAGAAGGCAACGGTTTATTATCATTATTATTATTATTATTATTATTATTATTATTTATTGTGGGGTAGTTTGTGCTCCCTCAGAATAGGTAAAGGTTTATTGCTTCTTCAGGGGAAGTACAGAGATGGTAATCTAAAGTTGATTAAGAACAAGATTCACAGCAGTAACTCTCCAAATGCAAGCCAGATACCCACTAGTATAGAACTAAATTTTGATGGATTACTGTGGTCAAATTTAATTTATAGTCTCTTTATTAAAAGACTCCAAAAATCCATCCTTGCTTCAAGGAGAGCTATTATAAGGTGTAAATTTTTACTAAATTGGATGACATATTTGGATACCATAAGTTGATTCAGAGAAAGTCTCCTACTACTAAGGCAGAGGCCTTTTCTTTATGTTGTTAAATTGAATACCAGCCAGTGTATGAATACTGGAGTAAGTGTTTTGAATCTAATAGTTCACAACTTAATATTTTCAGGATGTGCCTTAGAGAAAACAATTTCTAACCAAATTGAACTTTTCAACCACTTAAAGTATCTCAGATATGTGAATTTCTATTCAGTCAGCATTTCTTTCACAGATACATGTATTTAGCTCTTTGCTTTATTCTGTTAAACTTTTTATTTTGAAATCCAAAACAAGCAAGCCTCTAGAGAACAGGCAGTTTCTTCTGAGTCCATTACCTGTTTCTTGATACTCAGGCTGATGGATTTTTGTCCAACCACTGACAGATTAACTTGCATAATTGCTGTCTTCCCAGATGACATCCATTTCAATATAATTGGTTTTCTTTATGCTAAAACTGAAATATAGGTCATTTAGAAAATTGTACCATTAGTAAGACTTTATTTTAATAGTGACTGAGATGATTCCCTCCTCATAGCCACTATGTTTTTTGTTTTGTTTTGTGTTGTTTTTAATTACTGCAATGCTTGGCATGTAACTTCTTTACCACGTTGTGTCTCATCTTTTGTCACTTCACTATCCATTGACATAACCTTTGGTATAGTCTGTCCTTTCAGTTTTCTGCCATACTCCATTTTTCATTAATTCTGTCATTTCCTTTTTAGTATCACTAACACAGCCACATCCTGGACCAAGTTCATAAGACTACCTTGAAAAGCTTGAACTTACTCTCACCACAAAACCTCTTAAGTGGCTTGCTTTTGTATGTGGTAACTGTGATTGAATTCCATAATTCTTACCTAATCTAGACTTTGAACTTCCTTGTCTTTACTACTACTGTGTCACCTTATCATATCAATTGATTTTTTCTCAGTTGTTAAAAAATACTGTATTGTTTTCATTTTCTGAAAATAGTATCCTTGTTAGCCTTCAGGATTCTATTTGTCTATATGTAGCTCTCTGAATCTTGTTATTCTGTCAGTGCTTTGAGTATCTTATTGAAAATAGTATTGCCCTCCTTGTCATCCTCATCTTCCTCTTCTTAAATCCCGTCTCCTCAAATGTATGTAATGAAAATACTCCTTTTATCTAGATTCTGCTGGAAGGATTAGATGTGGGGGCTTGGATTTTGTTGTTGTTGTTGTTGTTTTTGTACAGTTTTTTGTTTTTTGATTTCAAAAAATGATCTCACTGTGTAGCCCAGGTTGGCCTGGAACTCATGGCTTTTGAAAGAATGGATCTCTGCAGGCTCAGCTCCCACAGTGCCCAGTAATCTTGGGCACAGACTGCTTTCCTTTTGTTTAAGTCGTACGCCTTATAAAAGTTGAGGGAAGGACAAGGGGACCTTTGAAAGTATAATCAAAATATAATGGAGATACACCTGCTAGTAAATAAAGTATATAACATACCTAAGGGAATCAAGATCGGTTATAGACACTTCTGTGTATTTAGTTAGCCTTTCAAGAATCTCTTTCTAGGTTTATGCTCAGGTCCTTTGAAACCTCTCAGAGCTTATATGTCATATTTCCTGAATTTGAGTATAGTTAAGGAACTGTGAAGTGTTTGTATGAGGCAGATTTCTACTGTTAGATGATTGGAAAAAAGAATTAGAAGCCTTCTCTTTTTTTCCTTGTTGCTTGAGTCTAACAGTTTTGAGAGATTAGTGTAGAAAATTGATTTTTAAAAAGTTTTTGCCTCAGTGTCAAAATGCTGGCCTGATTATTTTAAGATTAATCATGCTTAGAGTTCATTAATGTTTGATATTTCAATATTGTACATAACAATAACATAATTTACTTTAGAAATTAATATGCCATGTTTTTAAAACTTTTTTTCTCTTTTCTCTATCCCCAGAATGTAGTCTTCAGAAAATTTTGAAAAATTATATTTTCTTTTATGAACATATGTCATACCATGTTTTGCGGTTATTAGTGCTAGTAAACCTATTGTAAAAGCAAATTATAAGTGTGCCTTTTATGGAGTCAGCTGGTCAAAGGCACCCGGTCATAATAACAGATATTTGTCCCTTTTTTTCTTTTTGGCTAACTTGTATACAATTCCTTTTCTAATTTTATGGATGAAAATATAGCTATGGACAATTATGACAGGAACTAGTGGAGTCATATCTGCCTTCTTTTCCACCCCTTAGCAGTCAAGGATGGCCTCTGGTCAGTCACACATTCCTTTCTATAATGTAAAATTTTGTGTACAAAGTCACAGAGATATAAAGAAATTATTCATAGCAGCAGGTTTTTGCTGTAGTGTTGGCAGTGACCTGGCCATATTGTTCCTACTAAAAGACAGTTATGCTTCCTGCTACTTACCTATAGATTTTTATTGTTTTCTAAGGTTAGTCCTCTACCTTCCTGTCAGTTCAGTTGAAGATAGACATTGATTTTTATAATTCCCACTGCCTTTTGCTGTTTCCATGGGTATCACACTGCTTGCTCTTCTTTTTTGCTGCATTTCTCCAGAGTGAAAGGAACAGAATATGTTTGTTTTGGAAGCTTCTTCTGGGTACTTCAGAGAAAGGACAGTTTACTGAATACCACAGCAAATAATTCTAAAGATAATAGGGGTAAATGGTCTTCTAACACATGTGGGATTCTCATTGGGATATCCCAACATTTAAACTCCAAGCTTGATAAGCTAAATAAAAAATAGCAAACCGTTTTAGTCAGCTAGAGGGAAATATCTCAAGAATAATCAGCATATATATCCAAAATTACTGAAGGGATCAGATGAACATTTGAGTTAAAAATTCCCAGGATAATTAAAGTATAATGTGGAAGAGACTTCCTGGACCCCCTGAAAATCCTATTTTGTATTTGTATAATTTTTGTAAAAAATTAAATAGATGATGTGTCAGTCAGCATTTACTAGAGAAATAGATATCACACAAGATATACAAATGTAAAAGAATTTATAAGATTGGCTTACGATGGTCACCCACAGAGTTGAATGAGGAGGTGTGCAGAGCGTTTTTGCACACTGGAGAATGAAGGATCCAGTCAAAGGTCTGGAACCCACTGCAGTGTCCAGTGTGAGTCTGTATCAAGAGGCCGATAGGTCTATGATGAAAGGCTGAACACTACATCACAAGGTTGAAGAATTTGCCATGGAAGCCAGGAGATGACATCCAAGGTGAAGGCAAAGCCTGGAGCTCTTCTGAAGAAATGGAAATAGATCTGTTCTTCATTTCCCTTTATACCATCCATGCACAAGCCAGCCTAGGGTGGATCTCTCATACCCTAGGGTGTGGAATTGCTGAGTCACTGTAGTTGAGCTTCTCTTACTCAAGTTGACACAATCACTAGAAGCCTCGAAGATCACATGTGAGAAATAGCCCCAAATACAGGGAAAAAATCTTAACATATGGATATCATGAATAAAACAAAATAAATCCAGGAAAGTCAACATTATTTTAAAATTTAGTATGAGATAGGAGTTCCAGAAGGAAAAGAAGAACTGATGGAAGAGTTAATAATAAGTAAGAAAACTCATCTTGATAGTGAAAAGGCTTAAAGAATTCCATATTGCATTGATGAAACACACTGAGGAAGATGGATGCTGACATTGTTCATAATGCCTACATGAAAAAAATTAGGCAAAGGACTTTTCATTTACTTCATTGAAGTCTTGAAGACATTGAAGTATCTTCCAAAGACTGCTTGAAGAACAGGATTAAACTGTAATTCTCTTCATAAAGAGCAGTTCTTCAGCTGTTGGGAGTAAAAAATTCTACACAGAGTAAGTGACATTATATTAGGAAGCAAAGCTCCTGCAACTGGCTTTCTTTTTCTCTATCAAACAGTTCTTAGTTTCTTCTGTCTTATGTTCAGAGACTCAGGGGATCTTACTTGGGAGCCCCAAATTCAAGTTGCTACCTAAAAATCTAGTAAGGAGGATTTAAAACATAGTTTTGTTTTCTAGGTTCACTGACATTATGTGGTTATAGTGGTTGTATTTTTACAACCATTTTTTAGTATTAAAATGTGGATAATAACTATATTCCATACAGTTAAGAGGATCAAGTGACATAATCTAAGTAAAGCAATTTAGTGCAATATCTGATATTATATCATATAATATTTGTGTATAGCATATGCTCAATAGTTTGCAGCTCCTCTTATTTTGAAAATACCAAGATTAGAAATAATTTTCCTGTGTGTTACATGATTTTGACTCAGACACTTTTATATTTACTGAAAATGTAAAAGAAAATAAAATCTGATATTTTTCTTGAAGTTGGCTTATTAGGAGAGATTAGGCAAGGTATGTAAAGATAGTATCATTTAATAACATAATTAAAATTAAGTTAGTTATCTAATTGAAATAGCTGTAATTTTCATTTTTCCTATCCCAGTTGAGAACTTTAATTAATTTTGTAGTATGTAAAAGGATTTCTGCCAGGTTTTTTCCCTCATGTTTACAATTTAGGAATACTTGGTTATAAAATTATATTTTACCTCTTCCTCCCCTTTCTTTGCCATAGAAAAAGTGGCATTATAAAACTCAGGTTCATTTAATCAAATGTAATAGATCAACCTTAATTAAATACTGGTTCAGAA